CTTCTACATCCTTGTGCATCCCCTTCCAATATAACTCTGCCGCCAATCTACTATATGTCTTCTACACCCTAGAGTGACCTCTAACATTGCTCCCATGGAACTCCTGTAATAAGTGTGGGATATGGATCGAGGTTCGAGGCAGCACAAATCTCCCATTGTACAATAGTCTCTCCCTCTCTATGAAATAGCCAATGTGGCTACTCTCATCCTTCAGTAGATATATTCTGATCCTTCTTATCTCCTTGTCCTGCACACTCTCCTCCTTAATAGCCTCCCAATCCAACATCAATGGCATCGAAATGTACAACTCCTGAGCTCCCCCACACATCTAGAAAAGGGATCAACCTCCTTGTTCTCCAACCTCGGCCTATATTGGATCTCAAAATCATAGCCCAGTAACTTTGACAGCCGCCTTTGATGCTCCTTGGTCACTACCCTCTGCTCTAATAAGTATAGCTCGTCTTATATGTCCTTACGATGAAATGTCGGCCCAACAAGTAAGGCTATCATTTTCTAAATATCTAATATGATGGCCATCAAATCCCTTTCATAGACTGACTTTTGTTTGGCTCAAGCTGTCAGCACCTGGTTGTAGTATGCTATGGGTTGGTGATTCTGCATGAGCACTACCCCCAATCCACATCTTGATGCATTAGTCTCTACCACGAACATCTAGCTGAAATCAGGTAGGGCTAGGGCAGGTACCATGGTCATGACTGTCTTCAATCTCTCAAAGGCCTGGGTGGCCTCTCCCCACAAGAAGCTATCCTTCTTCATCTGTTTGGTCAGTGGCCAGGCTATGGTGCTGTATTCACTCACGAATATCCTATAATACCCAATCAACCCTATAAAATCCCTCAGCTCCCTCAGATTCTTAGGCAAAGACCATTTCAACATGGCCTCAATCTTGGCCTGATCAGCGGTCACTCCCTTCTGAGATACCACATGCCCCATGTACTCTACACTGGCCTGCACAAAATAACACTTCTTTAGATTGACCCTCAATTGATGCTCCTATAACACTTCTAAGATCACCCTCAGATGCTCTAAATGCTCATCACTGGCTTGTACTCTTCATATGAAGTCCAGAATCAATAATTTGGTAGGATTCCTCTAAGATATAAATCTATTGTAATCTTTTCTAGTGTAAGGTAGACTTGATTTTTATGTTTTGAGAAAGGATATCTAAATTTTTTCATTGGATAAAAAGGCATTTGACATGCACATAAATGAAATATGCAACTTTCTTGACGAATTCATTTATTAATTCTTTTTGTCCAGATAATAGTCTATTATATATTTATGACATTTGGCTATTGATATCCATGCATATGCTGTCACATAACAAAGATAATCTAAAGTTTTAAATTGATAAATGTTTTTTGCTTAACGATGTTGTAATTGCATTTAAGATTCACTAGCACAATTTTCTTTTTTCAAAAACATGTAAAATTTCTTTCGCATACACAAAATCATATGATGTTATTTACATCAACATGGTATTGAGCACTTTGATACATATTCAAATTTTCTACAATAAAGGGAAATAATTTAAATCTAACCTAAAACAATGATATCTTCTTAGGAAAAGCTAGTAATGTAAAATAGACACTAAAATCTAAACAAATATTTCAAAAAAATTCATAAACCTTAAACTTCAAACCCTTATTAAACAAAATCTAACGATTGAAATACCAAATTGATTGAAAATTTTGAAAGAGATGTAGATTTACTTTCAGATATTTGAAGAAATCAAAGAAATCAGTGATGAAAGAACTACCAATTAGCATGGAGGTTAGATGGCCAAAAGGGGACGAAAATGGTATCTATAGTGGATTTCGTCTGAAATGGACAAGGAGCGTTGGGTTAGAAATTAGTGCTCTACCTGTAGATTTTCCGGCAGAACTGTCCGTCAGTTTTATGTGGGATTTTCCGGTGAATAGTTACTGCCAGAAGTTCCGTCTATTTTGATTCCACCAGAAATTACGTCAAAAATCTTGTATTTTCTTGTAGTGAGTTAATGTAGGATCTATTGTTGATACATGCAAAAACATCCATGCATTTGTATGAAATATTATTAAAGTTAAACCTCTAACAAAAAAAAAAAGAGCACCATTAACTTAGCTCTTATAATCTTATTAAATAAAAACCAATATACTGATTCCTATCATTTTCAGAGTACGACATGGCTAAAAATAAGTTGTTCATTATAATATCATGCTATCAAATTAATAAGATAAGAAAAAAACTTAATTTGTATGGACAGAATTATATTTTCCTGCTTTATTATTATTTTTTTCTAATACTCTATGACATAAAATTCTTGGGTATTGTTTCTCTCAAACTAGAATCTAGGGGATTTTTTTTTTGGTTGACTTGAAATGCAAATTTCTATATTTTGAGAATATGTATTTTTTTTTACAACTATGATGAACTATAGTAATTATATTACTTTCCTTTATATGTTATCGTCCCATTATTTTGTTTCAAATCTGATAACCCCATATAAATTCCTGTAACTCTTTTGTAAAATAAACTTTTCATACTCTTTCATACAATCTTATATGCAATCCATATTCTTATATCTGAAAAATATTTAATAGTTTAGAAATATAAGAGAATGCACATTACAAAATTTATTATATATATTATTTTACCTAGTAAATAATATGGATTTGAAAATTAAAATCATGACAAACTTTAATGGCGAAAACAAAAAATTTAATTAGTAATTAATTAAATAACCTATATATTAGGAGAAACGAGCAACATATATATATATATAGTTTTTATTGAAGTTCATTTTTTGCATCTTAAAATATGATATTTGCAAAAGAATTAATTCTTTAAAATAATATTATGAAAATTTCAATATATTCACTAAAAATTAGATAAATTAAAAATTATAAAATAAAATAATTCAAATTTAATGTAATATGAATTAAAATTTTAAACATAAATATTAGCTATCAAATTCTAATGGGTTAAAAAGTATAATTTGATGTTGGGTAGTGTTGGGAGGATCTTGAAGTGGAGATTGGTGGTGAAACTTGTGATATGGGTGAAGCTTTGGTGAGACTTTTTTTTTTTTGCTTGGGTGAGACTTTGGAGTGAGTTGGAGTAAGGTTAGGGTTTAGTGGAGTTAAGGGGTAAATTAGATGTTTATAGGCTAGGACTTCTTTGTGCGTCCTTTGGGAAGTGGGGGCTTGGTTTTGTGAGGGTTAGGGTATAGATGAGAATTTTAAGAGGGAGATAGGTTAAGGGAGTGGTTGGGTAAAGAGATATAGTGTTATATATGGAATGGGAGTCGAAAAGGAAGTTGTGGGGCATTGATTTCGAGTTTGGATATAAGGTTTGAGCTAAATAGAGTTGAGCTTGTAGGACGGGTAGACTACTAGGCGAAGTTCGGTTAAGGTGTTGCTAGGTCAGTTATGGCATGGTGCGGCCAGGAGGTAGAGTAGGTTTGTTTTGCTTTGTTTAGGTTTCTTGGGAAGCTGATAGAGGAGATTGGGAAGTAGAGTAATAATGCAGAAATTAAATGAAATAATAAAGAGTTAATAGTATTCTCACCAATGAATTCCACATGCAAGACAAGCCATCAAGCCACCCATAAGGCTGGGGAAATTTGAATGCTTTTACAATTCTTCAATAAATTCTAGGGTAACGTGATGTATGTATATGTAGGATTAGAATGGACCAACACACAGAGATAACCCTAAACTAAGAAGGCAACGGTCTACCAAGCCATTTTGGAAAGTAATACCCTCACTGTTTTATCATATGTTTTGTAAAAAAAGGAGGGTAGCAAACAAGCATAGAGGAAAAAGGGTGGAGAGGCTTTCTTGATTGATAAATATCTTCATGTTGTTTCCTTGGAAGGAGGGGAGTCAGCCATGCATAAATGAAGTCCCTCTTGCTTTAAATCTTATGAAGATTAGATGATGATGATCTCCATGTTTGATCTTGCAACTCATTTGTGCACATGCTGAAGCTATTTTATTGTGCCACATGATAATTTATTTGAACAAATTGCAATTCCATTTAGTTGTATGGTTATGTGATTGCCACATGTTAATGCAAATGAGCTAAATGTAAGACATAATTTTGATATTGAAGGGTAACTTTGAAAAGATAATATGTTCCCCAACTTTATCGCAGCATCATATAGTATATTGTATAGAAATGGATGGATGGATAGAATGTAATGGAAAATGGATTTAGATGGTTTGAACATGTACACAAAAGTGCATAAGATGAATTAGGCCTCGTTTGGTAGCAGGAGTTTTGGTGAGAAATTGTGATTCCAAAACTTCCTTTTACCAACGGAGAAGCAAAAATAAAAAGCTTCACTAATCACTACGATAATGGAGGTTTGAAAAATATAGTTTTGTAAAAGGTATGCATCCAAACAGCAACCGATATCTTTTTTCACGTTTCAGAATGAAAACGACACTAATTACATCCAACCAAACCAAGCCTTAATGGTATGTAGATAGAATCGAATTAAAAAGATAAGCAGGAAAACATAGATCCAAAGGTAATTTGACTAATTTGAAAAAATGGTCATGCAAAATAGTTTTATTTATACAACACTCAATAGGTATGGATGAATAACAATAATTCATGAAATTGATCCCAAATAATTAGGATAATGCTAATGATGATGATGATATTTTTAATTATTCATTTTGTTTATATTTAAGTGTGGTTCTCTCTGCGGAGATTCTTGACACACTTTCAAATACAATTATGGAACTTCCTTTATGTGCGATGTAGTGTAAAACGGGTCCTAAGCCATCCTCCCAAACAATTTTATTAGGGTTCCATTTCTCATCTGCCCTGTACCTTTTAATTTTGAGAATTTGCTCATTATCTTCTTTGGTATTTCAAACATTTTTCTCCATTGAAATGAAAGATCAGAATGAAAATTCAAATATTCATCTTATCCATTTTATTGACTCATAAATGTTTTTTAATTTCCTTTTTCTTTTCCACGATAGCATCAAGAGTGGCTTGGAAATGGCTGGATGCAGCAGGCAGCAGTAGAGGATGATAAGAATGTGCAGCCAGAGCCAAATAGCAGCCATGGCTGTGTTTTGGTGCCTCAGGAAAAAGGTATATTGGGTCCAGGACCTGCTGACCTAAGGTTTTCTGAACCACTTTAGGTCTTAGTTGCAGGATTATTAAAAAAAATGCCTTAGTTATTTTGAATGTTAGCTATGATTTATTTTTGTATATATTGATGCTTTGGTATCTTCCACATCATTTATATGATTGTATTTGCCCTAGAAAACCTTGAAAAATAGTTAATTGGTTGTTTATTGTAAGTTGAAAATTGCTGATCCCCTACACTACTTTTTAACTGGTGGAGGGAGGAAGGAGAAGCTACCCTTAGAAATTATTATATGTATATTAAGGCTTTGTTTGGGATTGTAGTATTACTCTTTTGAAAAGCAAATTTTTAGTTTTGTATTAGAAAACTGCTTTAGAAAGCCGCCCAAATGAAGTCTAAGGTTTCGTTTGGGACGGCTTTCTTACTGTTTCATAAAGCAACTTTTTAGTACAAAAATAAAAAATTTTATATTATAAGCTGCTTTAAGAAGTAGGAAGAAAGTTGTCCCAAATGAAGCCGATGGCTTTTTTATTGCTTAAGACGGAGTTTTAGTATGTTCTAAAACTTTAAAACTTGTTTTAAGAAGCATTAAAAATGTCGTCCCAAACAAAGCTTAAGTCTTCTAGAGCTTTTTTGACAGCTTTTATGGTGAGAATAGTAGCTAATAAAAATATTTAGAAGATTATTTTCATCGTTTTTTTAAATGTCTTAAAAAACTGTTTTTGAAGAAGCATTTTTTAAACTGTGATAGAGAAAGAAACTTTTAAAAGCAAAAAATAAAATAAAAAAATACTACCCCAAATAAAATCTAAGTACAAAATTTCTATATATGGGGAACCGAAGTGCTGTGTACTCTATGTCTAGGTAGTATGTATATTCTCTCTTAATCCACATTTAGAACTATGATTAATATATACTCCAAACCTTAATAAAAAGATGAGCTGACTCATAGATTAGCTTGAACTCCTTCAATTGAATTCAAGCTTAATTAATTAATAAAGCTCAAGTTAAATATTACAAATTTCTCATAACTTTAACATTTTTCATCCTAATTAAGGATGCTAATATTGTCATTATGCTAATGATCATACTTATCGACTTCATTAGCAAATGTTTTAACAAAAAAATACTGATAAATGGTTGAACATATATATAATTTTCACAGAAGCCCCTAAGCTGTAAAACTAATAGAGTCTAGCCCAGTTGAAACTATTTCACTAGCTTGTGTATAATATAATGAATAGTGCCTCCTTTATAACTAAAGAAGGTGCATTATGATGATTTGTAGTATTATCAACTTCATGTGACTTGGTAAAAAATCAAAGTTAGAGAGAATTTAAAGAAAATGAAGTGTGAAAAAGCTCTTGGATCTAATGATATTCCAATAGAGATGTGAAAATGCATATGAGATCAAGGAGTTTTTTGGCTTACTATACTTTTCAATATTATTTTGAAAACTAAATGTAATCACCCATATTTTGATCAAATCAAATAATTGTTAGAGGACTCATTATAAGTCAATTTTGAAAACAATCTTCATCATATGATATATATTATTGTGCTTTATTTATGATAACTTTCTCATTATGGGTAATGTCAAAAATTGACACTTATAGGTATATGTGGAGATTTTGGGGCCGTTAGATGTCCGTTTGACAAATCGATATGACTAAAATCTTCTAAAAATGATATGATATTTATTGAATATTTTTTTTTAATAATTTTTAAGTTCTGAATTTGAAAGTGTAACATAATTTATATTATATTTATATTTAAAACTAAATAATTTATATAATTATATAGTATTATGTTACTATTTTAATCTAAATATCCTAATCCACTCATATTAATCACTTTTAAATCCTTCATTAGACTAAATGAGCGTTGAATTAAGACAGAAAATAGATGGGGGAGAAAAAAATATAGGATTTGAAGATCGTAGAGTGATTTTCATCAGTCAATCATGTTGGGAAAGTTATTCAGGTGGACTATCATTATACTACCTCTAATTTCAATGATTTTTCATATTTTGTATTTTATATATTTTAATTTATTTAAAATATACAAAAGGTATGATATCTTAATTTTTTGCAAACTTCCATCACATAACTTTTAGTGTGTGATAGATGTTATCAATATGAGCATTTTGATATGAATATATTAAATTTTTACTTGGTATTTTTATAGTTTTGAGGAAATATCTTAATTTGGATAAATTTAGAAATTTGAGTAATGATTATTAAAATAATTTTATTACTTATATGGTATGCATACTGTTATAATATAGTCATTATGGATATATATGAAAACAAGCACACTGCATTTTCTTATGCATTCCACTAATTTTGGTTTATATTCAAATTTTACATGCATTGATATTATACAATAAATTAAACATTTAATGTGTTATGAGATATTTATTTTGTTATATATGTTGTAAAATGTGTGTATGTAAGAAAGGATGGCTCATAAATGATTAACTGATTCAGCTTAGTTAGAAATATTACCATGTACAGAAGGGTAGATGGGCTTTCCTTTAAAATAATATTTTGCGGTGTTATTCTAAATAATATGAAAAGAGATGCATATGGAGACAATTTGATATGATATAATACATCGAGTGATAGGAAGTGATGGCTTCTCATAAAAGCTACATGACCTAAATAATTTGTGATTAAGATTGATTCCTATAGGGTTGGCCTATAGGACTGGATACAAGTAAAACAACACAGATAATTAGATATCTTTTTTTGCTTATAGTGTTTGTATATGTATATGATAGAAGCATATACGATAGATTACATAAAAATATGACATGATATTGAAAGAGGGGAAGAAACGAGAAAATAAAAAAAAGGTCTTCAGATCATATTTGTCAGTCATTCTTGTTACAAATTTTATTCTATTTAATGAGTATATCTTAAGGGCATCTTGCTCCTGCACTAAATAGTATTTATTTTTAAAACTCTAATCGAGCTTCTTAGCAGCATGTTCACGAGCTTAAAGATATGTCGTGATACATAACTAAAGCTAAAGAATAAGATTGTTCGAACTTGTTTCATTTAGCTATTCTAATATTACAGAGTATTATGTTGTAACTGGTATTTTAATCTTTAACACACTGAACTAGCTCTTATTGAGCCTGAGCATGAGTTAGCCCTTGGCGAACCTTGGTTTATGTTGTAGCCCTAATATTATTAGCTATCACCTGATGTTGTAATGGATTAAAATGTGATTACTATTATAAGAATAAATTGATGAAATAATAATGAACTATAGAAGAATAATTAATACAAATAACAATATTAAACATTGATGTACTATATATATATATATATATATATTCCTATATATATATATATATATATATATATATATATATATATATATATATATATATATAGTTATAGCATTGATTTCAATTGTAAGATTTTAATTACTTGTTTGACTATGTGCTCATTAAGTAGTTTCATGTTTTCAGAAAAAGGAAAATATCCTAAAATATGATGTTCCATACAAGATAAAAATGCAATCATGTTTCTTTATAATGTTCATTGGTAAGCTCTAATTAAATGATTAAAATGAAATATAGATGTAATTCTTCTAATATTGATCCTTGAGTGCGATAGTACAACATGCATTTAACTATGATAGGTATAGAAATGATAAATAGAAACTGTTCTTAACTAATGGGTATAAAAATGATAAAATTTATCGATCCCTTGTTTATAGTTACTGATTGCAGACCACTGTATACTTGGTTATTGATCACTACTTTTAAGATATATAGTTATATTGATATTTATTGATCATATGACATGTTACTGTTTCAATCATTATTACATACTTTTACAATTATATATTCATACTTATAGTTTTGAATGATTATATGTATATAATTCTATTGCCTTACATTGATTTTAATTATAGGTTTTAGTAACCTATTGAGTTGTTCTCTTATTATGTAGTTTTACATATTTTCAAGAAGGGGTCAAGATCCAATGGAGTGATGATAGATTAGGAATCAGTTTATTTTTTTCTATAATTTTTCTAATTTTATTTTTTGTAGTTAGGAGCTTAGAAAGTTGAAATAATTACAATGATTGATCTCCTCGCTTCTGTACATGTATTTTGGGGGATGAATATAATTTTATAATTTAATGTATATAATTCTTAGTTGCTTTCGTTGGATTAATTTATATTGATTAATTCATATAATCTCTAATTGATTAATTAAGAGATTAAAATAGAAAATGCTTTCAAAATTAGACTATTGGGTGTTACACTAAAAAATATGTCTGATGAGTGGAGAAGGAGTGTATTCATTCTTATTTTTAAGAATAAAGGTGATCCAAAAAAACTGTGTGAGTTTTAAGGAAAATAGTTAATATTTCATACTTCTATGGGAGAGAGTAATTGGGTATAGGTTATAATGTAATACTAATGTTTCTCAAAATCAATTTTGATTCATGAGGGTCTATTATTGAAGCTATACATGTATTGAGAGGTTTGATAGAAAAGTATTGAGAGAAAAAGGAGGATCTACATATGATATTTATTGATTTAGAGAAAGCTTATGATAAAGTTTCAAGAGAAGTGATGTGCAAAGTTTTAGAAATGAAAGGGGTTAATAATGCTTATACTCAAGTCATTAAGGATGTGTATGCACAAGTTGTTATTTGTGATCAAATACAAGGTGGTTTGACTAAGTATTTTCTTATTTCAATTGGATTACATCAAGGGTCAACTTTAAACCCATATCTTTTGTTTTAGTCATGGATGTTCATACTAGACATTTATAAGAAGATATACCATGGCGTATATTTTATGCTGATTATATTCTTCTTGTGGATAAGACTAGAGAGGGAGTCGAAGGTAAACTTGAATTATGGAGGTCAACCTTCGAGTCTAAAGGTTTTCGTTTGAGTAGATCTAAAATTGAATACATGAAGTGTAATTTTAATAATAATAGAACTAGTGGGGAGATTGTACTTTGAGCGACCAAGTCATTAACAAGGATACACATTTTAGTTATCTCACATCTATTGTTCAGAGTGATGGTAAGATAGATGGGGCTATTGTTAGTAGAATTCAAATTGTTTGGTTGAAGTAGAGGAATGTATCAGGCCTGTTGTGTGATAGAAAAATATCCCTCAAACTTAAGGGAAAATTCTATAGGATGGTGGTGAGATCTGTAATGCTTTATGGCATAGAATATTGGTCAATGACAAAGAAGCGTAAAATTAAGTTAAGTATCACAGAGATGAAGATGCTCAAGTAGATGAGTGACTTTACTCTTTGAGGCAAAACATGAAAGAAGCATATACATAGAAAGGTTGGAGTAGCTCCAATGAAATATAAGATTAGAGAGAGTCGCCTTAGATGGTTTGGTCAAATAAAAATATTGGCCTCCCAAATACCTAATTAAGAGAGATGTATTAAATTTGACCTATGTTAAGAAGGGTAAGGCAAATCTAAAAAAATGTGGTTAGAAAAAATTAGAAATGAACTTTTTTATTATATTTAAATAAAATTTGACTCTTAAGACCATCTCCAACCGAACGCCAAACGAGTGTTTTGCGTCGTTCGGTCGCACCAGCCGAACGCCAAAACGTCCGCCATTTGCTTGCGGGTGAACAGTGCAACACCAATATTGGTGTTCCACTATTCACCCACGCTATTTTCCTCTCTCAACCAGAAAAACGTGCCAAAGGAGAAGGATCATTACCTTCGCGCAGAAGCAAAAAAATGGCGTTCGATTGGAGAAGCACCACGCCATTTTTGCGTTTTGCGGTATTTTGACGTGAAAAATGGAGTTCTCCATTGGAGATGCCCTAATAGGATACATTGGAGAAAAAAGTTTCATATAATCAACCCGATATAGTGGGATAAAGGCTTAATATTATTGTTGCACTTTAAATCATGAATCAAATTATTATTATTTAGAATGTGATTATTGAAATATAGAATTAACTATATTTCTTTTTAAATATTTAATATTTAATAATTATATTCAAAATTAAAATAAAGTTCGCTGCTTTAATAATCCTATTCAAAATATTTGTAATTAGATTCATAATTGGGAAAAAAATAATTTATTAATATTTAGGATTAATCATAATTTTTGGCTAATCATTGTATTTAGGTTAAAGTTTCCAAAGTAAAAGAGATAAATTTTAACTTCCCCTCTCGTGTTGGTCGGTAGCTAGCCGAAGCAAACAAAAACCTCATCAGCTCTTGTTCGGGTGGTTCGTTCCCTCTCCGCCGCTCCCTCAATCACCGAAGTGAACATCGCCGGCACTCCGGTTCCCTCGCCGAAGCTTGCGGGAGTTTGATGGAGACGATGGCCGCAATTCCAAATTCAGAGTCTCGGATTATTCGGTTAGTTTTCTCTCTCTTCTCCTCCGGACTACGCCATTTTCTTCCTCAAACCGCCGTGAAGAAGTTATTATTTCAAATAGATTAATAAATTACTAATTAATATTATTTGACATTCATAGAAAATTCTTGAACACTGAAATAAGTATCCAAACAACTTTAATAATCAACCCAATAAATTAGCTTCGCTGTGATAAACTAGTATTTGATAAGCACAATAGATCTGCCAGAAGCCAGCTCACATTGGATTCCACGTTTCCGCCTTCAGCCGCCCAGAGCAGTGACCTCTAACAGAATTGGGCATCACGGCAGAACTGCCCTGATAGAGCCATCCACAGCGTTCTACTACAAGTACCCATGTGTAGAATTCAGCTCGTCTCCTAGACATTTGTATAAATACCTCTCATGTATTCCAACGGTTAAGCTAATTCAATAAACAATATATCCTTTCCCTATTTTTTTGCTTACATTTCTACTGGCTTGTAGTTGAGTTCTCACTGCTATACTATATTAGAAGTCTTTCATGGTATCGGAGCATAAGTACTTAATGGATTACCTGCAACCAACATCAAAACTCTCGTTGATAACATCTCAACCACAGGCTCCAACATTGATCATGAAGATATCATCTTTTACATACTTAATGGATTATCTGCAACCTACCAATCCTTAAAAACTGTCATTCATATAAAATTACCTAGACGATCCCTATTCACTACTTTGCAGTGAAGAGATTAACCTCTCCACCGAAAGCTCCAAACTCCGATCCTCAGACTCTGCATTCTTTTCCACTTGAGGTTGCGCCCAACATCCAACAGAGGATGCTATTCACCTACCACTCCAATACCCTCCCGCAACATCTATTCACCGGATCGAGGAGGACGACAACCCAACATTCCTCGTCCTACATGCCAAATATATGGGAAAATTAACCATATTGCAGTTACTTGTTGGCACAGATGCAACCTTTAGTACACTACACTGCCTTCCACACCTATAATCAATTTGTGTTCGCATCAATAGTTTTCCTCCAGCAATTGGTATTTGGACTTTAGCGCTTCAACTCATCTCACAGCAGATATTAACAACCTTCAACAACCACGACCTTATGATTATGCATACACAGTAATTGTAGGTGATGACTCTAACATCCCCATCACAAATAGTAATCAAGGCCTTCTACGTACACCATCACCACACCGTAAGCTATTTCTGCTTAATCTTCTACACCTGCCATTTATCTCTCACACAATATTCTCAAAATTCACAAACATATCTTAGACATTAATTGGTATGTGTTTTTTGGGACTGTTTGACCAATCAAATACTTCTCAAAGGCCGTAGCAACCAAGGGCGGAGCTAGGATTTTTTTCACGTGGGGGAAAAATTTGAATGAAAGCAACGTGATAAAGGTAACTATAAGGCTAAAAGTAAATAGTGGAAATTGGAAAATTTCCCCCAAAGTGACGAAGGTAACTATCTAAATATTCTTTACCTCAGGTTCTAGTTTCTTGTAATGACCACATTTGCCACAAAGGACATATAAAAATCATTCTTATAAATGCACATTAGAAGAATGTTAACTATAAGGTTATATTAGATACAAGCTTATCAAAATGAAGCCAACAAGCATGATTAAGAAATTGCATTTACTGATTAACCTAGAGGCAAAATCATGTGCAACGTACTTATAACTATAGATCAGCACCGTAGCGCCGCCTCAGCATTGCCAGCAAGCAAACAGAGAGAAATCATCATTTCTCCTAACCCTAGAAAGTAAAGGATGCTTTAACTCGATCAGAGAAAAGTGTGGGCGATTGGGCAAATCATCAACTCCTTCAATGAATCACTGAAAAAAAAAAAAGTAAAACTTGGAAATACGACTGTCGTCGTCAGCTGGCGTGAAGCCCTGAAGGTCGTGAAAAATGGAGTTCTCCATTGGAGATGCCCTAATAGGATACATTGGAGAAAAAAGTTTCATATAATCAACCCGATATAGTGGGATAAAGGCTTAATATTATTGTTGCACTTTAAATCATGAATCAAATTATTATTATTTAGAATGTGATTATTGAAATATAGAATTAACTATATTTCTTTTTAAATATTTAATATTTAATAATTATATTCAAAATTAAAATAAAGTTCGCTGCTTTAATAATCCTATTCAAAATATTTGTAATTAGATTCATAATTGGGAAAAAAATAATTTATTAATATTTAGGATTAACCATAATTTTTGGCTAATCATTGTATTTAGGTTAAAGTTTCCTAAGTAAAAGAGATAAATTTTAACTTCCCCTCTCGTGTTGGTCGGTAGCTAGCCGAAGCAAACAAAAACCTCATCAGCTCTTGTTCCGGTGGTTCGTTCCCTCTCCGCCGCTCCTTCAATCACCGAAGTGAACATCGCCGGCACTCCGGTTCCCTCGCCGAAGCTTGCTGGAGTTTGATGGAGACGATGGCCGCAATTCCAAATTCAGAGTCCCCGATTATTCGGTTAGTTTTCTCTCTCTTCTCCTCCGGACTTCGCCATTTTCTTCCTCAAACCGCCGTCAAGAAGTTATTATTTCAAATAGATTAATAAATTACTAATTAATATTATTTGACATTCATAAAAAAATCTTAAAAAATTGCATAAGTATCCAAGCAAGTTTAATAATCAACCCAATAAATTAGCTTCGCTGTGATATGCTAGTATTTGATAAGCACGATAGATCTGCCAGCAGGCAGCTTACATTGGATTCCACGTTTCCAACTTCAGCCGCCCAGAGCAGTGACCTCTAACAGAATTGGGCATCACGGCAGAACTGCCCTGATAGAGCCATCCACAACGTTCTACTGCAAGTGCCCATGTGTAGAATTCAGTCGTCTCCTAGACATTTGTATAAATACCACTCATGCTCTGATGCACCGACACTTTGTTTTAAGAAGGTATGCAGTGTCGGACACGTGTCGGATACGGACACGCGTCCGAAACGGCGAGGACATGTGTCGGACGCGTCACTAGTGTGTCCCATTTTAAAAAAATTAAAACAGACATGCGTGTCCGGCTATTATATAATTAATTAAATAAAAAAACCCTAATACTGCTATTTCATATTAGCCGGTTCACACCCGAGTCTTCATCTTCTCCTTAACTCCGTATTCCTATTCGTATTCGTGGTCTTCCCGAGCGATTGAGGCAGCAGCGGTCGGCTGGAGATCGCACCCTTGGTCTTTCCTTACGACCGTAAGCAGCAAGCCATTATCCTTAGTTTTTGGGCGTAGCTAAGGGAAGCCGACGCCAAACCGCAGAAAATTTTTCAAACCTGTAAGTTGATTTCGTCATTTTTTTCTCCATTCACCATTTCTCTTCATTTATCAGTGATTCTGTATATTTGTGATCAGAAAAGCATATTTTTTTAAAGTATTTTATTTGTTTTGGATTAAAATTATTTTTACAATAAAAATTTATTTATTTAATGCACTTTAAGTGCACTTTAAGTGTGCTTTAACTGCGTTTTTGTTGCGCTTTAAGTGCGCTTTAACTGTGCTTTCACTGCGCTTTTACTCTTACAATAAAAATTTATTCCGGGGGCGCCCCCTTGGAGGCATAATTGCAAATTTTTAATTATTTTTTAGTCAGATAGTTATAATGCATGATGGAATAGTTCTTTAATTATTTTTTTAACTTTGTTTGGCAATTTTTAATTGTTTTACAATAAGTCTTTATTTCTTCTATTTCACTAGTTATTTTAAAAGCAAAATGAGCACTAGTGCTGGTGGGAGTGGTTCAAAAGAGTCATCTGTAGAAATTGATAAGGCATTATGAATTCATGTTACAAAATTAAGAAAAACTTTTGAAGGAATAGGGAATGTGTTATTTAAATACAATTATTGTGGTGACACATACAAAGGATTTTATTTTAGGGTGAAAGCACATCTTCTTAAGATTTTTGGCCATGGAATTAAAATGTGTCATAAGATTACTACGTCACAGTTGATTGCATTGAATAGACAAGTTGATGAAGCTGAATCTAGGATCAAAAGGGCACTTCCTAAAGAGATATCTTTGCCATCTACCCATGGTTCATCCCACACTTCTTCCTCATCGGTTATAGTTGATCATTCATTATCATATAGAAGTGAATGATATGATTCAAAAAAAAAGAAAAGGAGTTGCCAGTAGTGCTTTAGAGAAGGCTTTTAACATGCAGCTACGAGAAAAATTAGATGGTGAAATTGCAAGAATGTTTTTTTCAGCTGAACTTTCTTTCGAGCAGCTGGACTTTCTTTCAACCTTGCAAGAAATCCTCATTACAAAAATGCATTCACTTTTGCATGTAATAACAATCTTGTTGGTTATGTTCCACCTGGCTATAATGCATTAAGATCAAAATTATTGGAAAGGGAAAGAGCACATATTGAAACATTGCTTGAACCAACAAAAGGTGTGTGGAAAGAAAAAGGAGTCACTTTGATGTGTGATGGTTGGATTGATCCTCAAAGAAGACCACTCATTAATTTTATGGCCATTACAGAGAATTGCTCAATATTTATTAAAGCTATGAATTGTGAAGGAGAATACAAGGATAAATATTTCATTGCCAATTTGATTAAAGAGATGATAGTCATTATTGGGCCTTCAAATGTTGTGCAGGTTATAGCAGATAATGCGCCGGTGTGTAGAGCTGCAGGATTGTTGGTGGAGCAAACTTATCCTCATATATTCTGAACTCCATGTGTTGTGCTTACTTTAAATCTTGCTCTAAAAAATATTTGTATAGCAAAGAATACAGAGACAAATGAAATCATCTATGCTGAATGTCATTGGATAACAGTGGTTGCAGATGATGCTGTTTTGATTAGAAATTTCATTATGAACCACTCAATGAGACTTTCAATATTTAATAATTTCTCACATTTGAGAATGTTAGCTGTTGCTGAAATTCATTTTGCCTCTATAATAATTATGTTGAGAAAATTCAAACAAATAAAAAATGCCCTTCAATCTATGATGATTA